AGACTCTTTTTTTTTTTTTTTTTTTTTGATGATGGAGTTGCTGGCTCTGGTCGCCCCAGGCTGGAGTGCAGTGGTGTGTCTTGGTCGACTGCAAGCTCTCTCCTGGGTTCACCGCTATTCTCCGTGGACCTAGCCTCCAGAGTAAGCTGGGATATCAGGTGCCCGCCACCATGCCCGCTAATTTTTGTTGTATTTTTTGTAGAGACGGGGTTTCACTTTGTTAGCCAGGATGGTCTTGATCTCCTGAGCCTCATGATCGTGCCAGCCCTCGCCCGCCATCGGCCTACACAGAGTCCTGGATTACAGGCATGAGCCACCGGCGCTGGCCTAGATCTCTCTTGTAGGACTCCACATCTGTAGCACGTGCTCTCTAGCCGTATCTGCTCTCATTAAGGGCTTTTGTGGGAGGGGACAAAAATCACAACAACACAAATCAGGTTAGTCACTGTTGGCATTTGTCCTGACACCGCACTTCCAGAAGTTTCTCAGTCTGGGGGGCAGGCAATGCTTTGTTGGGCTCCCACCACTCTTACTATCTTCTCCTGTGTTCCTTGCAGCTAGCTCGACTCCCTTCCCTCAGGGTGCTCCGCCTCCCTCTCACTCTAGGCCTTTGCATATGCTGCTTTGTCCGTGAAACAGCCTCTATACCCTTGGCCTGGTGAAATAATTTTTGTCCTTCAGGATGCAGTTCTGGCCGTGACCCTCCTCCAGGGAGGTCCATCCTTGATGTTTCCCAGGTCCAGGCGATGTGTCCCTTAGCCACAATGGCCCTCTTTCCTACGCAGCAGCTATAGCAGTGAGGCTGGCCACATGGTGACCAATGCACTAAGAACAGTGCACTGAGGGCTGGGTGGCAGTGGCTCATGCTATAATGCCCAGCACTTCAGGGAGGTGAGGTGGGAGGATCACCGGAGGTTTGGGGAGTTTTGAGACCAGGCGCTGACAACATGGAGAAGAACCCGATCGCGCACAAACAAAAACCAAATTGTAGCGGTATGGTGGCACATGCTGTATCCAGCTAAGCTACTCGGGAGGTGAGGCAGGAGAATCACTTGAACCGGGAGCGAAGGTTTGCAGGGAGCCGAGATCGCAATCATTGCACTCGTAGCCTCGGGCAAACAAAGAGGCCAAACGTCCATCTCAAAAAAAGAAGAAAGAACAATGTCATGTAGCTTTCTGCGTGGCCTGACTGGGGAAGGAGAAAGGACAGAGTGAGAAGTCAAGTCTCATCTGGATGTAGTTAAAGCAGGAAGGGACTCTTCTCTGGCTCTGGTGATCTGCCTCCCAGAGAGTTATCAGTTTGTCTGTTTAGGAGAGTGGATTGGGCACCATGGGGCTCTGGAGCCAGCACTTCTGAGTCCAAATTTGGCTCTGACACTAACCAGTGTGTGGCATGGCTTGACCTCTTCGCTCATCTGTAATAGGGGAATCAGTAATAGAAACTACCCATGAGGATCAGTAGGAGATCAGCTTGTATTATGGTTTCCTCTTATTATTGTTTACGTATTTTTAAAAAGCTTTTTTTTTTTTTTCGGTATGTGCTTGGTGTTTTAGAGGACCAAGGGATCTCGCACTCTGTTGCCCAGGCTGGGAGTGCATAGTAACGAAGATTCATAAACTTACCGTTTATCCCTGACTTGATGGACTCTTTGAGGTATTTTATTCTTCTCAGCATTCCTGAGCATGCTGGGTTGACTATCAACAGACTGCTCGCCTGATGTGTGTGTTAATTCCAAATAAATTTTTTGTTGTATCGGGGTGCGCAGTGGCTTCACACCTGGTAATCTCAGCTCTTGAGGACCGTAGGTGGGTGTTGGATCGACTTGACGGATCGGGAGTTCGATGGATACCAAGTCCTGGCCCAAGATGTGGAAACCCTTCTTATAATTAGGAACTATCATATATAATTCTAGGCTGGTTTTATGGCGGCCTCATTGCGAGTTCCCAGCTACGTCATGGGACGTCGAGGCTGAGGCAGGGATAATCGCTTGAACCTGAGAGGCGGAAGGGTTGCCAGTAATTGGAGATGGCAGCCCACTGCACTCCAGCCTGGGGTGACAATGCCAGGCTCTTGTCCTGTAGATGAGAGAGTAAGTTGGCGGTGGAGAGATCAGAGCCTACTTACGCTAATGCCCGCGCTAGTCGCTTTCTTACCTCCTGCCTCGAATGTCTCATATCTGGATCCCCGGCACCGGCCCTCCCGCAACGAGTGCTGGGTTAAGGCGTGAGCGAGGCCACCTATATTACTATTTATTTCCCTTCCGCTCCCGTCCCCGGGCAGCCGCCATACTTAGGACAAGTCCTACATTAGGCACTCCTCACTGATGCTAGATTTCTCCGTTCTTAGCCCCCTTCCGTGGCCCGTATATCGTTTTATATCCCCGTGGGGATGTGAAGTGAGGGCTCACCCTTCCCGTCTGTAGGCTACTGTGGGCCAATGCAGAAGTGGCGCGCTGGCCTGTTTGCTGGCGCACAGCGATTCCTGTAGATCCAGTGCCTGGCACTTCAGAACGTTTGCTCGAAGCATGTTTTTTCTGTTATGGCCTGAGGATCTGGGGCGATCTCTGTTTTTTGTTTTTTTTTTAAACTTTTTGTTTAGACGACAGAGTCGCTGGGTCTTTGGTGCCAGGCTGGCAGGTACAGTGGCGCCCAGTCACGAGCTGTCACTGCAGCGCTTGAACCACCTGGGGCTCCAAGCAATCCCTCCCCCCTCGAACTTCCTGATACTGAGACTACAGGCCTTGTGTCACCGATGCCAAGCTGATTGTTGTGTATTGTTTTGGTAGAACAGGTCTCGCTTGTGTTCCAGACTGGGGTCTCAAACTCCTAGACTCAAGTATTCTGCTGCCTGGGCCTCCAGAAAGAGTGTTGGAATTACAGGCATGGAGCCACTGTGGCTGGCTGAGAACATTTACGGTCAGTATTAGGAGCAAGAGGACAGAGTCATGGTGTTTGCTGGGATACAAATATCTAGATATGTAAGAATAAACCTCTAGTTTTGAAATAGACGTATTCAGAGTGAGACAGGGAAGTGGCCTAACTCCGCTTCCCTATTGCAGGCGCTGTCTGCTGATTTAATAGATCTTATGTTAAAAGTATGAACCCTGGGGTAGGTTGCAAGCTGCTGCCTTGGTCTTCCTCAAGCGTTCTGCAGGGTTTCTGGGGCTAAAGGAGCTGCTGTGGACTCTTTTCTGGGAATTTCTGGTGCATGGGGGTTGTGGATCATGCCTGTTTCAGTTCTCGCCACAGGTGTAGTGAATACCAATGCCAGTGCGGGGCCTGGTCGACCCTCTGTGATCCAGCCCTGCCAGTCTTGCAGTTACTTCTATGCTTTTCTCCTGTCCGTCATGCTCCGGAGCCTCAATGGTCTGTCCCAACATGCCATGGGTCTCACCGTCCTATGTACTTGCTGTCCCTTCTGCCTAGGATGGCTTTTCCCTCAGCTCTTTCCACAAGTCTGATTCCTGTATCATTTAGGTCCCAGCTCAACTGAACTAGAGAGGCCTTCCCTGAAGTCCCACCCTCAACTTTCCATCATTTGCAGATAAGTTCTATTGGGTACCAGCTGCGTCTTGACCACAGACTGATTTGCTGTACATCTGACTCTGCTCCTTGTTTTGTCTCTTATTTGTTTATGCTCCTTGGAAGCTTACCGACATATATTATGAAGATAACTCAATCGTCTATTGTATGTAATTTGGTCATAATATGTTAATATAGTCTTAAAAAGTTCATGCATATGCATCTGTCATGTATGTTCCTTAAGGCGATCTCGGCTCACTGCAACCTCCGCCTCCTGGGTTCAAGCGATCCTCCTGCCTCAGCCTCCTAAGTAGCTGGGATTACAGGCGCGCGCCACCACGCCCGACTATTTTTTTGCATTTTTAGTAAAGATGGGGTTTCACCATGTTGCCCAGGCTGGTCTCGATACCCCTACCTGGTGATCCGCCCGCCTTGGCCTCGCAAAGTGCTGGGAATACATGTTTAAGCCACCGCGCCTGGCCGAGTGTGGGCTTTCAAGTCCAACGTTCAGGTTCAAATTCTGCCTCCCCACCTGCCAACTCCAAAAGTTAAACTTTCGTGTGCCTCTGTGTTCTTATCTGCAGAATGGAGATAACGAAGAAAACAGCATCTAGGAGGAAAGGCTGAAATCCGCTCGAGGTACAACGGTAATGGTTCCTATTTGTAGCCCGAGACATGAGACACTAGCCAGGGAAGCTGTCGGCTGGCGCTGCAGAGCCGCGGGAGGGCCCCGTTTATTCTCCCAAAACCACAGCCCGGAAAGCGCCCCCGCCCCGGCGCGTCCCGCCCGCGTCCCAGCCCGACTCCTGGTTTCCTGCCCTGTCCCGGCCTGGGCCCAGCCTAGCCCGCCCCCGAGCGGGCGTCTCCCTCCGGCTCCAGGGAGCGGAAAGGGTTGGGCCGGTGGGAGGAGCCCAAGGCCGGTGACGACGGACGTCGCGGGTCGAAGGGGCCGAAGAACTCGGCGGCGAAAGTGACCACGTCCTCCGGCTGGCGCAGCAGCAGGAAGAGCAGGAAGTCGGAGATGAGCGCGTGGGCTTCGGGGTGCTGCCGCAGATAGCTGGCGTGGCCGAGCCGGAGCTCCTCCTGGCAGGGGACAGAGCCCGAGCCTCAGCCGGACGGGATCCCCGCGCCCCAGGAGCCCCCACCCACTCGCTCCAAGGAGAGCTAAGAGGCACTGGAGACTTCTAGCCCCTATGGGTGTGCATTTCAATCAGGGGCAGAGAGATCAGTAATGAATTTAAGGCCCATGGGGGAATGGGAACCCCAGGCTGGTGGAGCCTCCCCTCACCTTACGGTCCAGGAACTTCGAATAGAGCTCCATATCCTCCTCCCACGCCGGGGGCTTCTTCTCAAACACTGGGCGTGGCTCAATCTCATCTGGGTGGGGAACAAAGAAGGCTGGGCGTCCCCACCCCAGAACCTTCCCTGGATACACAGCGGGATCCCGAGAACACCCAAACAGAAGGCTCAGGTGAAACCCCAGGACTCTGCACACATGTGCAGAGTTGCAGGAAGGGACTCCCAGTAAGAAAGATCCTTCTCTTACTGCTTGGGGTCAGGGGCTGGAGGGCAGATGTTCTCCAGCTGATTCCAGGCTCCTGTCCTGCACACTCGGTCGAGCCCCCTGCATCCTGGAAGGCCCAGGTTTCCCCACTCCCCTTCACTCTCCCTGGATGCCCAAGGCCTGGGCTTCACTCACCCACTTCCCTCAAGATGGGCATCTTGGTGATGATGCAGCATCCTGGGGAGCCCACCTGTATTCTCTTGGCCAGGTGCCTGGAGTGCAACACAACATGTGAGAGTGAGAATCTTCCCAGGCAGCCCGCTATGGACTGAATTGTTGTTCTAACCCCCAGTGTGGTGGTATTTGGAGGTAGGGCCTTTGGGGAGGTCATTACATTACATGCAGTCATAAGGGTGGGGCCCTAATCAGATAGGATTGGTCCTCTTATAAGAAAAGGAAGAGATGCCAGAGAGCTTTCTCTTCACTCATGCACAGAAGAAAGGCCATGTGAAGACACATTGAGAAGGCAGCCATCTGCAAGCTAGGAAGAGAGCCCTCACCAGAAACCAACCCTGATGGCACCATGATCTTGGACTTCCAGCCTTCCTGCAAATACATTTCTCTTGAAGCCACCCAGCCTGAGGTATTTTGTTACAGCAGCCGAAGCTGACTCATACATGACAGTGCCCCTTGAGAGACCTGTCTTGGGCCTCTTTACTTCTGCCTCCCTCTCTTGTGTTTTGAGTTCCTGGGTGGTGGTCATTTCTGGATCTCCACGTAACACACAGGACTTGGCAAGTATTAGGCTCCCCGTTTTAAAAAAAAACAAAAAGGATCTTTAGAGGTACAGCACTAGTAAATCATGGAGCCTCTTGGCCAGGCACGATGGCTCATGCTTGTAATCTTAGCACTTTGGGAGGCTGAGATGGGTGGATCACTTGAGGTCAGGAGTTTGAGACCATCCTGGCCAACATAGTGAAATGCCGTCTGTACTAAAAATACAAAAAACCGGGCAGACATGGCAGGCTTCTGTAATCCCAGCTATTTCGGTGGCTGAGGCATGAGAATCACTTGAACCTGGGAGGTGGAGGTTGTAGTGAACCAAGATTGCATCACCATACTCCAGTCTGGGCAACAGAGCAAGACTGTCTCAAAAAGAGAAAGAGGCCTGTCACAGTGGCTCATGCTTGTTGCAGTGGCTCATGCCTGTAATCCCAGCACTTTAGGAGGCCAAGATGAGTGGATCACTTGAGGTCAGGTGTTCGAGACCAGCCTGGCCAACATGGTGAAACTGGTTTCTACTAAAAATACAAAAATTAGCCAGGCGTGGTGGCAGGCACCTGTAGTCCCAGCTACTTGGGAGGCTGAAGCAAGGGGATCACTTGAACCCAGAGGGCAGAGGTTGCAGTTAGCTAAGGTCATGCCATGGCATTCCAGTCTAGGCAACAGAGCTAGACTCCATCAAGAAACAGAGAGGGAGAGAGGAAGGAGGGAAGGAAGGAGGGAGGGAGGAAGGGAAGGAAGGAAGGAAGGAGGGAGGGAAGAAGGGAGGGAAGGAAGGAAGGAAGGAAGGAGACAGAGAGAGAAAGAAAGAAAAGAAAAATTACGAAATCTCCTGCTATGTGGCATTCAAAATAGAAAGGTTGGCCTGGAGCTGTGGTGCATACCTGTAGTCCCAGCTACTAGGAAGGCTGAAGCAGGGGGATTGCTTGAGCCCAGGAGTTGGAGGCTGCAGTGGGCTATGAGCGCACCAAAACCAAAAACATACTAAGTTATGAGATAAAGCCAACAATGTTTTGATTACCTTTTCCCCAGTGTAGCGATCATGTCAATACCTATTCGGAGATTTTAAGAAATAAACTCAGCTGGACTCTATCTCAAAAAGAAACAAAAAACCTCTTTCTTCCACCTGAATTTTCTTTGCTGTCCCCTAGGCTGGAGTGCAGTGGCACGATCTCGGCTCACTGCAAGCTCTGACTCCTGGGTTCACGCCATTCTCCTGCCTCAGCCTCCCAAGTAGCTGGGACTACAGGTGCCTGCCACTATGCCTGGCTAATTTTTTGTATTTTT